TATGATAAACAGTTATATAATGATCATCATCATCATCAAAACACGTGCAGTTACGAATCCTAATCATTAAACTCATTTAACAAAAATAGTTTATTTGAAAAAAACCATGTTTTTTTGTTCAAACTATTCTCAAACACATTCAGAGTTAATTTCCATCCCCACATTCTCACATAGTTTTTTATTCACTGGTAAAACTCTTATCTGTGATAATAATAATTAACGATAACTTTTTTTTTAGCTAGTAAAAGACATAATTTTCTATTTGGAGATTCTTCTAACCAAAATTTTCATTCAAAACATCCTAGAAAAGTAGCTGATTACAAATTATTTTAACTTAATCAATGATTCAAGCAGCAAAAAAGAACAACAGTTAATCCTAAAATTTCAGTCATTGTACAATAAAAAGATTTTTGAAAAAAAAATTTTAGCTAATTCCATTTGTAGTTTCTATTTTTTCAATTATATTAGAATAATACACTTGATAATAACTCAATCATGTGACCATACATGAATAATAATCGTAATCATAATAATAATTCACATTTTCGTCAATTTCATTTCTTCCCAATGAAAATTATCGTAAAGTAAAAAGCCAGCTAGCTAAGTTAAACTTATCCAAACAGAAATAAGCTTCAAGTAGTGAAAAACTTAGAGCTCTATAAGTGTTGAAAAAATTTATGTAATGCAAGAAATACTGTGGAGCATGATGTTTTTTTTGGGGTAAATAATATAAGTAAGTTTGACAGTCTCCATCATCAGAAAATTTTAAACTTAGACAATTTCACTGTTTAGTGATAGGTGTGATTATGATTGTCTGATTCAGTGTACATTGTGCACACAATGACAATTATCTTTAAAGATATTAGTTATTTGATTCTACCATATTTATCCTTAGTATGCTGATTGTATCTATGTATAAAATTGTGCAGGTAATTAAACTTTTAGCACAATCGTAGTAGAACTTGTCGCCTTAAATTAGATAAAATATTTCAAAACCAAATAAAATTTCTTTATTTTCTCCAAATTCTGATGATTATTGTCTTGTTCATATTCTATTATAATGTAGAAATATGTTTAGGATTATGATAAAACTCTTGCAAGTGTACTTATTGCCTACATTTATGTAATAAATCCTTAGGTCAGTTATTACTCATTTTCTTTCTAACAGTCAATTTAAATAATGATTTCCAAGTATCATGCAACAAAACAGATAAGGACTCATGGTAAAATATGACATTGTTTAACTAGTTAATAAACAATATATGATGATATTTGAATTGAAACCAAACAACTAATTCATAAATTCAACTACTGCATTACTCAAAATTCTAAATCCTATTAAACTTTGACATAAATTGCTTTAAGACTAAAGGTACATCTGTCTGAAAATTACCAATATTGTATGACAGACGTAGATGAAAAGTTTAATCAAGCTTATTTAATTACAAGTAATGAGGAAAAAAATACTTGATGTATGTGAAGTAATCGATACTCTTTCAATGCTCAACAAACGTGCAGTACTCAGCATTTATTTATGAGCATCTTCTGACTCACTAGGCAGATGAAAACTGCGTACGAAAGTGTAATTTTCACTTTTTCCACGTTTTTCATAAAGATATGTTCAATTGCTTACAAAAATCTTTGATGAAAATTATACTGTTATATTTAGTACTTATCAACATGGTGATTGAAAAAAATAACTAAACTTTATGAAGATTGTAAACTGATTGAATAAGAAAAACCGAATGGTTAGTTTCACATCATATGGACACATACACAAACAACTGCCATTTAAAATTGTAATAAAAACGAACCTAAATCCAAAATTAAACTAAAAATTTCCTCACAAATAATATAATTTTAATTGATAATGATATAAATTGAAATCTCAAAACATGCTTTTGTATCGAAAACCTGACTTTCAATTTTTACATTGTTTTAAATATGATAAAGAAATTGTACAAAACTGTCGGATCCATGAGCGAATGTTCAAATATATGAGATAGATTGAGATATATTCTAGAGCATATGCATAAACACAAAAATTAAGCCCTTTCTTTGGTTAAATAATATCGAATTATTCCTAAAGCACTAAATTAAATTGCTATTTTTGCGTTGATTTTCAATAGCTTCTAGCTAGATTTCTGTAGTTTAGAACAGAGGAAACTGTAACTACTAGAATGTACGCCTACAATGGTTCATTGCACTTTATTTATATGGTACGTGGAAGCACTCGCATACAATACCAAAGGTTTGTCAAAATAATAGAATATCTCTGCATTTCAATTTTTAACTCAACCTACTGGAGGTTGGTACCAAATTAAATCTTAAAACTGAAATGCAGATGCAGTCAGCAAGTGACTGTTAATTAAAAATGAACGTAAGTCTAACTACTACTGCAGATTTTCAAAGCATTGAAGACAAACGATTACATTTTAGGCTTAGAACAAAATGTTTTATTTTCCAATTACTGAGAAGCAACATGACATGATATTTATCTCATGACAACCTAAAAGGAGGATCCAAACCGAAATCTTCGTTTGCAACTTTGTGTTATCGCAAGAAATATCTTATATTGTACGGTGAAAAATTGTGTATCTCCCAGTTTTTGCTTATTATTAATATTTTAGTACACTTTGCAAAACACAAAACATTGAGCAAACTAATTCAAAACAGTTATGAGCCAAATGTTTAGGTGACATTAAAAGTGAGATTTCAAGTCTTGTTTAAATTAAGCTTGGCTAAGACCTCCCATTGTATTCAAGTAAGAGATTTTCAGTGATATTTAGACAACCCGAAATGTAGATCATCTAAATTCAGATTGAATTTGTAAAACTCTCAACCTTATATTTTAACCTCTCTTCCTGTAATTCAGATTAAGCCCGTTTTGTGAAACATAAAAACGGACTTAAAGACATAATATCGGAACAACTTAACTGAAGCTACTGAAGCATTAACAGGAACAATTTTAATCTATTAAGTCTAGGAAATCTTTTGCTAACATAATAGTCAGCATAGTAGGTGTGACTGTTTTAGTGCCCCGTGATACTTAGAATAGATCGGAATATCATAACCCGGTAGACAAAACATGATTTCACAGAAACAGGGGTAGCATTTAAATACCAACGGATGTTTACCAGCGATTTTAGAAAGCGAACCACCGAAACAAAACGATTTCAATAGACTTATTCGTTACTATGACTACTAATATTACTAGATACCCAAGGTGCATTTTCTTTAAACAAAACGTTGTTTCCATTATGTTTGAGTTGTTTGGTAGTTAAGAAGAGCCTTTGAATAAGCGGAAACCTACAAAGGGTAAAACGACGCATAATCACTCAGTAGTCAGCTAACATCAACTGTGACTTGGTGTAAAAATAGAAAATTTTTTTCCGAATAGTATGAGCATTAGCTGATAGCACAAACTTAGCACTTGCATCGTTTTACCTCAAGCTATTTGATGTAAATACGCGAAACCGTTCACGGTAAAGTCAGAACTCATCGATTATTTAGGATAACTCACATAGAGAAGACATTAAAAAGGTCACAAAATATCATCTGATTACAGTGAAATTGTTAGTCTGCAGTTAATACAATAGTTTATAATCCTAATCAGAAACTGAATATATCATCCTGATATTTCATGCACTGAAACCCAAATAACAGGACTTTGTTGAAATAAACACAAGCTTTTCACGGTGTATATTTGTTTACAATTACAACCTAACAATGACAAGAACAGAACCATACAACCAAGTTAAAAAGGGGATACTTTTTATCAGATCTAACTTTCCAACTTGGAGAAAGCACTACTCATTAAAAACGCATGCATCAACATAATCACGACAAGCGATAACCGTCTATTTTAGAAATCAAACAAGGTAGTTAGATCTAATTCCGGAATGATAAAAGCAGTTTGTGCTTCTAAGTCACTTTATGCTTATTAAGAGTATGCAATGATTTGTTTCCCAAAGTTCTTACCACTTCCTTTCATCTGTCAGTTTAATTTGTCTAGTTTAGAACACTTACTTGATGCGAAATGTGAAACATGCCATGGGTTTAAGTGTCACTGTTCCTAGTTTTAGAGTTAAAGAATAGAATAAAGTGGTGTTATCGCAAATCAGAACATGCCAAAAGTAAAACATACGGAACCCTTTCGTTAATTGGATCTCAATAGCTTTAAAATATACTGTCCGAAGTCTATCAATTTGATAAACATGTGTCTAAACAGTCTGCTGATTCCTAAAAGACCGTCTGTAGATTTGATACTGGTACTTATAAGGATAAGGCTGGTCGCTTATCTGATATATCTTTGGAAAAATAGTGCTTTGAGAATAGCAGGAGGTATATACGAGGTGTATGCGAATTCATAGCTCTACAAAAAGCTATATAGCTTGATTCGAAATGAAAAGAATGAGAATGAAAAAGAATTTTTGCGTTGAGATGCACCACCTAACTGCTCCACTTCAGTCAAGAAAATAATTTCTATCTCAGACAAAAATTTGTATTGCTGCTAAAGCTTGGTTTGCCTTATGGTCTCAGTGACATCAAAACATTCGGTTCGGTATGTTAAAACAAGAAAAAGAATACGTGTAACGAGGAAAATGAGAGGTACGCATTATTGTGGACTCGACTTCAAACAAGTCACCGAAAATCTGAGAATCAAGCTTTAATTTTTATGGGACCACAAATTGCCTGGTGGTATGTAACATCGTCAACAACTTGCAAAAACAAGAAATTTTGATAAGTAAAGTATATGTGCTTAGAGTTCTTTTGGCCCCTCCAAATTCTTCACACTTCAGGGTAGTCAATGTTCACCAACGACAAGCTGAGAAAAATAGTATGTACGGACAATGATGCTTATATTAGTGAAAAATTGTTTTAGCTTCTGTAACTAGTGAGAAAAATTATGCTCATTATTTAAGAACCTAAGCAGGTGAATTATTGAACTTAAAAAGCTACAGAAAACTCTGAAATGTTTTTCAAGACTACAGACTCACCCACTGGATCGACGTGGCTGAAGTGGTCCACGAATGTCCTTCTGTCTAAGTATAGTGATAACTATTCAAGTTTCTAAGTAAATTTAATATTACCTTTCCGTCTGGAGTGGATTTTTTTAGAACGCTGAAAGTAATGCTTGATAAATTGAATGAAAATTACTCGAAGTAACGTCTGTGAGACCCTTCGGACACCATCCTAATATACAAGCGGTAACATCCACATGATTTCATAAATGTATCCAATATCAAATATCCAACATCCAATGTCCAATATCTTTTTCATGAGCTAGAGTAAACAACGTGATTTATTTGCACTGGATTCTTGTTCTTCTGGTAAGGTTCCAGGTGTTTTGCAATCTTCAATGGGTGATAATCTAGCGATTCGACTGAACTAATTTTAGTCGACTGCCACTTGTTTGTGACTATGTATTGTGCAGTGTGCTACTTATACGAAGGATATAAGTAGTATAAGAAGGGACGTGAAAGAAGAACTCGCACGGTTATAGGAGGGAAACGGAAAGAAAATGGAGCAAAAACAAGAAGTAAATGGATTACCGAGAGGAAGTAAAGGAAGCAACAGCAGGAATGGACGAAGGCTGGAGCATTGGAAGTCAGGACTCAAAGATGGTGTGCAAATAGAGTGTTCAATGTAATGTTTTCGTTTTTAATTGAACAAGAGTGTAAGTTTGCTAAGTACAATCTATCGCGCCTGCCTCAGTCTTCTCAGTATGACCTGTGATTTAGTAAGTACAATTGTTCCATGGCAATAGGGTTTCTGGATACTAGGTCGGAGATCAATTAGTTGTGATGTGGAGATTAATAAGGGTAAAATTCGAATCCTGATAAGCCGAAGATTTCAGAACTAAGTAAATAAATGTATAGTTATGTCCATTAATTGATACGAAAGATTGTGCGACAGCGCCAAAGCGAATAGTCCTAAGTTTTGGAGTCTGTCTTCCCAAGCTTTATTCTTCAACTCGATCATCCATTTATTTGTCATCTGTGCACTCCGCCAGAGATTTGTGTCCCTTAATGCGAGGAAGTGCGATGACCCTGTCCTATGCTATGAGTGAATTGGGTGATCACGAACTGCCTTTCCTTATTCATGTTGTGTATCATGGAGGATAATGTTCTCATCCGTGTGTTCACTCGTTGTTCATTGACCAGTCCCTAAATTACCTTCATCAGTGGTGGCAGTAGTGTGTGTGGTCTATCGCTAGTTGAGTCTTTGGATGGTTCGGAAGCATTGTATTCTGGTGGAGGCAGTAGTTTCGGGGGACTATTTTATTGTCGTTGCTGAGGAACTTTTTGCAGACCACCACGTTTCGAGTAATGGAAACATAATCATTGATCTCCTGAAACTCTGCTCTTAACCACATGTTGGAACTTTATTTTCCAAACCTTGTGCTAAATAAGACACAAGACTTCAATGTAGCTTCGTGGAAAAATATCAATTTCAGAATGATGTGGCTTCTTATAGGCATGTGCACACATCACTGCCAACTATGAATGTCTATGTTTGCCTTCGAAGCGCCATGAACATAAGTGTGTTTGCCAGTTAGCTCCAAGAAGCGTGAGGCACCTAATATGATTTTGCAGCCTAGTCCGAAAGAGACAACCCTAGCAAAAGACATAGTAATTGTAGGATTTAACTTGGCCTACAGATGTAATTCTAAACTGTAAACGCAAATACGGTTGCTCACGGAGTCGACAATAAAATCAGAACAATGAAAACTTTCTTTTAAACTTCATCTGTTTCTAGACAAAAACAGAACGATTAAATTAGTACAATAAATAAGGAAATTACAATTATCAAGTAAGATGAGCAAACGTACCAACCAATATAGCGTGTCTTTAGAAAATGAATAAAAACATGAGTCACAGCAATATAAATAAAATGATAACATCCTTCAATCGATAGGCCATTCACAACAAAGTAAGTTTACAGACCGGTCAGACTATATAGCATGGTGAGCGCTTAACCAGTCCGACTGTTTCAATACTGGGTTTAAGGAATTTGAAAAGGCTTAAAGTGGAGCTGTCTTTCGTAGTTTCTAAAGAAATTTCTGATGCTTTACTTAAAGATTTGATAGCCACGTATGCTAGGTGTAGTGGAGGTATGAAAATTCAGCCTATAAAACTTCAAATACAGGCTTTTCCAGTCTTTCTCAAAAGACGAATAATTCCTTATGGTCTTCGAGATGCAGTGCATAAGACATTGAATGATTTATGTGCAAAAGGCATAATTGAACCGGTTCAGTCTTCTGAATGGGGTACTCCTATTTTTACACCACTGAAATCGGATGGCAAGACTCCTAGGATATGTGGTGACTATAGACTAACTTTGGACTCTCGTTTGTTGAAGCAAACATGCACGACGGTAGAGGCTGAAGATATTTTAAATCGACTTCATGGTTCTAAAGTGTTCTCGAAAGTTGACCTAAAAGATGCTTATCTTCAAATCCCTTTAGATCAATCCTCATCTATTTTGACGACAATTAATACTCCTTTTGGTCTGTTTAAATACAATTTCCTTCCATTTGGGCTAAGTTGTTCTCCAGCCATATTCCAGGAAGTTATGAATAAGGTGGTTAGTGATCTTGAAGGTGTTGAAGTTTATCAAGATGATCTGATTGTTCATGGTGCTGATAAGGGAGCTCATGACCAGAGACTTATTGCCTTATTGCGTCGTTTAATTGAGAAGAATATTACAGTAAATCCAAATAAGTGTTCATTTTGTGTATCTAGTTTTGAATGTCTTGGATACCTAGTTGATGGTAATGGTTTTAGACCAGATATGAAACGACTAGCTCCACTGACTAATGCACCGTCTCCAAAAAATCTTATGGAACTACGTTCACTAGTGGGTGCACTTCAATACTATTCCCGTTTTATTCCTAATTTTTCTTGTCGTGCAAATTGTTTATTTAATATTTTGACATCCAATTCATTCAAATGGGGTGAGGAACAAGAGTCGTGCTTACGTAGTCTACTAAGGTTTCTTCAAAGTGATGCTGTTATTCGAACTTACTCCCCTAGTGTACAGTCTGTGCTTATCACTGATGCATCACCTGTGGGTATTGGCGCAATTTCGGAACAGGAAGGTGGACCAGTTATTTGTGTTTCACGCAAACTTACTGTTACTGAACAAGGCTATTCACAGACTCGGCGAGAGGCACTGTCTGTGTTTTGGGCTTTTGAAAGACTTCATAAATATTTATTCGGAAAGAAATTCACTATTGTTACTGATCATGAGGCTTTAAAGTTTATTTATCATCCTAAAAAATCCTTAGCACGTGCCTCAGCTGCTATGGTTCAACGATGGAGTATTGCTTTGAAAGCCTACGACTATACGGTTCAGCATAGGAGTGCTTAACAAATTCAACATGTTGACTACATTTCTTGACAGTCATTACAAGATAAACCTGTTAATACTTCAGACTGTTTGTTGGTGCAACCTTTACCAGTGAAACGTCAAGATCTCATTAGAGAAACTCGTAGAAACTTCGGATGTATAATTAATGCTATACGGAAAGGTTGGAATGCTAATCTGAAACGTAGATTTCCTATCTATTTTTCTAAGCGGGATGAGCTGTCCAATAGTCCTGATGGTATTTTGTGTTTAAATGATCGTGTTGTTATTCCTCCTTCATTGCGTAAATCTGTCCTTGAAGATCTTGATAGCGGACTTTTGGGTATTGAGAACATGAAGTCGTTGGCGAGGACCACGTGCTGGTGGCCAGAGATAAATGCGGATATCTGTCGTACAGCAAACAATTGCGAAACGTATCATGAGCTGAAAAATCAGCATTGGAAGTGGACTCCGAGGCCAGTATCGCCTGAGGCCTGGCAGAGAATTCATGCAGACTATTGTGGCCAGTTTCTTGGCAAATACTATGCGCCTGTAATCACTGATTCTTTTGCAAAGTAGCCTGAAGTTCCTTTCACAACTTCACCGAATTCTGACTTCACAATTCAAGCATTAAGAAAGGTGTTTAGTCAAGAAGGTGTTCCAATGCTTTTAGTGACTGATAACGGCTCTCATTTTGCTGCAGATTCAGTCACTACCTGGTTAAATGGTGTAGGGTGCAAACATCTGTTTACTGCTCCCAGACATCCTTGTTCCAATGGTCAGGCAGAATATTTTGTCAGGACGTTGAAAAATGCTACTGATCCTATTGCAGCCTCAACATTTAATCAGCTGGAAAGGGGAAGAGATACCTTTTTACTGCAATATAGAAATGCCAGACATTGGTTGACGAAAGAGACTCCATCAAAGCTATTAAAAGGAACAATTCTTCGGTCGAATATGAGATGTTTGGAGTCTGCAGAAGTTACATATTATCGTGACAATGATCTCCGACCATCAACGGGGACTGTTCTGAAGAATGTCGAGAAATCCATGGTGCGACTTCTAGATATCAATGATTTAAGTACACACGATCGACATGTAGATCATATACAATTCCAGGGACCAGGTGAGTCTGTTCCAAATTCGGTTGTTAATTCTAATACTAATGAGAACACTCTAGATAATACAGATTCTTTATCCGATACACGGTCGGAGAGACACAGGATGAATTTGAGAAGACGTACAACTGATTACAGACACTTGGATTTCAATTATATCTGAAGCGAATGTGGTGTTCGAATGAAATAAGGATTTCTTGATTGTTGTTGAATGCTTGATTTCGAATTCTAAATACAATACATTCGTTCGTGCTTATCTAGTAGTTCTTGATCCAATTACGTATTTCTGGGATTATTAGTTTATCCTTAAATTCAAAACCTTCTAATTACAATAGGCTGTAAAATGAAAACGTGACATCTGGAAGTGTTTCGGAAATGCGGAATCCCTTTGGATACAAAATAGACAGAAAAGTTATCTTCGGAAGTTGCTGTTGTATCCTGATCATGAAGAATGAAATACCGAACACACAGGCAGTCTTGCTGTTTCTCTCCGAAAAGCAAGTAAATCGTTTATGGAGTAGGAATCTCTTGGACTCAACATCATTTCATTTATTTTTCTGGTTTAAAAAAATCGCAATTGTCATTCTAATCAATGAGGAATGAGAAAGAAAACAGCTAATATTAAAATTATCCAACTCATGCATGGATCAGCTTCATTAGAAAGATGAAAGTCCTTATAATAGACTAATATAAAAGAATGTAAGAAAGTCACATTGACCAACAAGTTGAAAATGGCATTCCACAGCACTGTTGATATTTGTAACTTCAGCACTTTAGTTTACAAACTCTCCTTACAGTATACATGGAAAAGTTCAATTGTAAGCATTTTAATTGGATGGTTCGTGAAAACTGTTCCGGGTATTATACATATAATTATATGTCTGACATTTGTTTGAAAAGCATTGAATTTCCACCTGTTAATATGAAACTTCTGAAAGACTTTATCAAATGAACAACTTGAATCTGCTTGTTAATTGGGTGAATTTATTGAAAAAACTGTTTTAAGCTTTGACTAACAAAATTGTTAATAACATTTACATTTTCTATAAATGAATAACCAGTACGCATACAAAAAACAAGATCAATTATAATCCAAGTTCCATAGCCAGAATTAGGCATGACAGTGTCATTTAATACATACAGTATTTTCCCTATCGTACTGTTATGAAATTCAGACAAACTGTGCATCATCCTTCCGGAATTTATTCACATTGACAGGTGTTTCACTCAGAACAGAGATGATGAATTTACGGTATGTGTAAGCTGGTTGTGATGAACTACGAGGCAAAAATGACTATCCGTATTCACAAAGCTAAACAAAGCGCCATACGACCAGGACACATGCACTTCCATGGTCAATCTATAAATCAATCAACAGAAACGTAGAAATTCAGTTGATGAAAACCTCGACGATCTAACAAATGATCTGGTCCACTCTCAGAATGCCAGGTGAAGCACTTGCTCCATCCAACACACCGTGGTTTCATACTTCTAGAACGCAGTCACTTATTCCATGGTTTAGTAGTGTTCCATTGATTTTCTGGTCCATACAATTCGTGTTTGCGGTGAACACTATATTATAGTGAGAAGACCCATAAATCGAATCATGATCGGAAGTAGGAGTGCTGGAGTTTCGTCTGAAATGCTGATATCTAAATGATGATTCTCTGAAATATTTCGGACTCACTGTGACAAAATATTAGGTATTTTACTTCTACAGATACTTGAATCATTGGAAAAAGCAGGAGCACGTTTCGACTCTGTTCCGTGGAATCCACTAACATGACGATTGTTCAGAATCGACGTCATCAGAGCGCTATTAGTGTTGTTGGTATCTACAATTTCAACATTTTTGTCTAGTTCTTTTATACGAGTAGTGGGCAGTACAGCTCTTGCATTGCAAATACTATATCCAGTATTCAAACTGCGATTTACTCTACGAAGCATTTGTCTGTTAAACTGTTCAACCCTGCGCATCGATTCTCGTTGTTTCAAACGCCATGAGCTGATTAACAGGGTCAGCCACTGCATCAATGCTGCCGTTGTTACAGCTGCTGCCTCCAGTTCTTCACCGGCGACATGTTGGTCTGTTAGTAAGTTGCGTAGATCGATTCCCAGTTTTGTGGGACTGAACAAACCAAGGTCATAACCTGTAATATCAAAAACACAGACAAACTACACAGTTCAACTTGGTGGTATTCAGTATCTATCTGAAAGCACACACGTTATGCAATTATGGCAGTCGGTTGTGGTCATTGTGGTGATTGAGTTGTGAGTTTGATCTCCGGTAGGATGGTAGATAAGCACTATCGAGGAGTCAGATGACAGGATGGAACACCTGTCGAGTGCTACCTGATTCCCTATGGTTGGTGGCTTGAGGTCAATCCGTGATGGATGTTATGTAAATTATTGGACAATGTAATTAGTAGAACTTCAGTGGTGCTGCACCGAGATAAGAGTTCGGCTTGAGACTTAAGGCTTTGTTTGTGAAATGTGTAAGAAAAATCACCTTCGGATAAATGTGTATGACATATTGTGGATAATCATCGCTTTACTAACTCGGACCAGTACGAAATCACTTTCCGGACGAAGAGTAAAGTCTGTGTTTCATATGGTGCATACAATCAATGCTGCAGAAAATAAACAAATTCAGTGTCCTACTAACTCGTGGATGGAAAACGTCGAGCATTCATCAATGATAAATTTTGACATTTCTGCTCCGTTGATCAAAGCTAATGACATTCATTTTTCACTTGACTGTGTTGCATTTTCGAAATCAATCACAACAGAAATGGCACGAACGAAAGCGGTTAATCTTTCGAATGTTGGTTGCACCAAGAATATGAGATCAGATGCACCCACTGTAAGTACTCATAATTGCTGGTGATCCGACTCTACACTTTCCAAATAACAGTACACTCTTAATCCTAGAAGTAGGCTACACAAATGAGGTGGTATCACACAGAAAGAGGTTACTTTGGTGGTTGTTCTTGTCTGAGTCACCACACCACAACTGTTACACTCACTGTAAGTACTCAAAATTGCTGACGACTATTCTTCAATAATCTATTGGCCGTCGAAACAATGAATTCTGTATGAATTGATAACCGTGAACTAACTAACTGGTGAAACTCGGACAACTTCAAATATGAGTCCGAAGTTTACACGCTACCTCTCACTGAATAAAATGAAACCATGCTGAAGCACACACGTGAAACGCTGATATTTCTTTCAGCAGTGAAAAACAAGTCGACGGTACAGTGCATGCAATCGATGACAATGAATTAGATAGAGCAGTCTATCAACATGAAAATAGATACAATCGGAGAATAAAATGCAGTTCACGCCTGTTTATAAACATGTTACTACTTACCAGCCATTAATCCAGCTACATTATCCAACCAATCAAAATGTAATTTCTTTTCCAACTGTTGAATTTTGCTTCCTTTAGCTTTATCAGCCATATGCTGAAACAATGACCAAGGCTTCTCAAATATTAATATACATGATTTGCACCAAAATATTTGTCCAGGTTCTAGTGCAGCCCTTATCTTCACATATTTCACATGATCTCCTTTATCCAAAAAACAGTCTAAGTAATGATTTTTCAGTACTGTGCAATAACTTTCATTTTTACTATTCACAAGAACTTGTCTGCAGGAACCTAAGAACAAATATCCAGACATTGAAACATTTACAAATGAAATAATAAATAAGTAAACTCAAGCTTGCCAAATGACAGTTTAGCAGATTTATTTGAACAAGTACAAGTACAATTACAATTACAATTACAATTGAATTCATCCTCGTTACACAACATGATGGTTGTTATGTGTACCCAATAGTTAAGTGATTAATAACGTATTTATTGGGCGTTTGATGAGAATGGTGTTAAGTTCCATTCCCAAAGTAAAAATCTACAGAAGGAAGCAGGCATACATATCCTACTGACAACAAGTCCTACACAGGACGATACGAGAGTCCTAGACACCACTGCTAGCCACTAACCATCACTTGCTGAAAACGACAACGAACATTACTGAAACCTAGTGTATAACGCTATGGAGGAGGATAAGAAATACAACACATTAAACATACTAAATACAATCAAATTCTGACTGAATGAAGATTGCTGTTTATAAGTTTCAAGCACTCAAAGAGAAGACAAGTATGCTGAATGGTTACTTTAGATTGCAGTCTTGAAACATAGATGTTTTGACGGTAATGATGCTGGCTGATAAAACCCAATCAATGTAGGCATTGATTAAATGATAATACTACCTGAAAGCTAATTTCTTAGCTCGTCACAACTGCATACCACTGAGATAAGATACTGCAGTTGAGTATTTATTCAGTGTGTTGTTATTCATCTGTGAGAAATTCGAAAGCCTGTTTTTTATTTAATTTAAGTCTGGTATAGTTTACCCGTTAAAAAACACTATGTAAAGCATACAAATGATCGATTACCACAATGCATCTCATTTCCATGCAAGTTTTGTGAATGTCCAGATACTGCAGATTTGATATGATTTTGACTATTTTCTTTGACGGCTTGATCAGTTGAAGCTTTGTCGACGTTGCACACGTAATTAAGTGCATCGTCAGTTTTCACTGAAGGATCGTCACCACATGCAGTACATGGTGTAGATTCGAAATGACTCGTTTCGTTTGTACCGATCAAATTACTGGTGGTGGATACATTCAAACTTTCGAATTCTGTGCTGTCCTCATCCAAATTGATTGAAACATTCTGGATAGACCGATCGTGCTTACCAATGGCATTTGCATTATTTTTATCTTGTACTAAATCCGATACATTTTCTACTGTTTTCTCTTGCTTGCCGTTTAAAACTGATCGTGTCATATCATTATTGTTTGTCCCAGTTAATTCCTTCAAAGTCATATTCGCCTTCAGAATCTGTAATCATAGCACAACAGTAGAACAATTTGAAAAATAACACGTGACGAAACTAGCATTCTCGGTGAAAATTGCTATAGAACTCTGCTAAGTGTTTGTGAGACGTTTATAAATAATATCATTAGGAACAACAGTTCAAGTCGTGATGCTTTGCATCATCTCATTGTTGACGTTGCCTTGTGAAGAGTAATTCCATTGGCATACACATCCATACGACAAGATGTAAATAGGATTAAGCTCAGTTTGTGGGTTCGCATTGAAAATAGTTTGCCGAACATCGACTAATTGACAGCATTTAAACTACTCAAACGTGATCTATGTGTCCAGAAAGAGACTCCTATCAACTTATCGGCACGTCTACGTTTGCTAAGGTCGAAGGCGATTAGATCAGTATTATTCCATACCGAGGAATTCCTCATCATCAATCAATGCAACGAGTTTGCTCACTTTGGAACTACCTCGACATATTTATATACGATATGTTGCATCAAGAAAGAAATATATTAAACACTGAGAAACTTACGTCTTTTATTGACTCGATACAACCATTGTTATCATAATTCTCAACCGATTTTAGAGGTGTTCTGTCATGTGCAAAATGACAACTTTCTCCATAGCGACATCCAGTTGATAAGCTGAAATTTCGATCGAAACATTATTGACAGTCCTACTCATAAAATATACATGGTGGCTTCTTATTTGGGATATGTAGAAATCTACAACAGTCTCCATACCAGCAACCTCCTACAGTGTTAAAGTAACGGCAAATTCTCTTCCTTGAATCAGTCATACTACTGCTTCACTAATAACTGAATTGCAAATCACCTCAATTGATTATTTATTGACAGAATCATTTTCAAATTTTAAAGAAATAAAAATCGATACTGAAGATTAACTTACTCTTATACTGAGTGTGATTCAATATTATTCACTTGGTCATTTGATGCATATATTTCCCGTGAATGCGCTCCAGATAATTTTTATTGTCAGCATTGACCAGCTGATGATCATTTATCGAACAGCTAACTAAATTTAAGCTAAATAATTAATATTCAATACTCAATGGATTTATGCATGACTACCAGGGAACAATTTGACTAGTTTGATATTACACTTCGGTGTTAGCGAATAAATACTCTCAGATCATTTAAATTTTCTGCAGAGTATAGTCAAGCCACGTGTTGACCATAAACCTGGAGGAGGATATAAAGACTTTTGAAAATTGACTCATTTAAGGAGTTGCATGAAGCTGTCCATAGACAACATGGGGACCGAAACAGATGAATGGCAAATCATTTAGTGATGGAATATTAAGAACTGATTTTGATTTGATTTCTGAGCGTTTGCACCGGAAATGTTTTCTATGGGATGTAATTGTTGATCATTTTTCTGATTCCATTCATCTTTTCTCATTCTTACAACTACGCTGAACTAATTTCATTGTTTACAGTTATATATTCAATGTTGAAGTAGTTTAGTGGTAATTGTTTCATTTGTAACATTTAACGACGAGCAATCCATTTGAATAATCCTTAAAGCATTGTAATACTTTCATATATGGATCTGGTGATGGGAATCGGGCACATTAGATTTTACTAATGACCATAAAGATCATGGATAGAAAAAGAGCACTGATCATTTATTTAATACGTTTTCACCATTCAATGAAATGAAGATGAGATTTGTTTAAATACTAGCGATACCACGATTACGTAAATAATTAGGGTTGCATGTTTTGCGTGAAAGCGTTAACTGAATGACACTCAAATGTGTCATTTAGCTGCTATTCAGCGATATATCGGTCATTGTAATTTTTCTAGTCAACAAATTAGGTTGTGGACAAAATGATTGCATCATTCAGTGTTCCACTTATTGGAAATAAAATTGTTTTTTTGATAAAGAATCATCTAAACACGTATTGCACTCCTTGAAACAATGACAATGGACGAAATTCACTAGACAATGGAATGGACATTTCGAAAGTCTATTCATAAGTACCATAACGTTGACATAGTTCAAAGCATTTTTCAGCTGTTTGTGCTGTGCAGAAATGTTCCCAGTATGTAGCTGAGACATAAGGTGAAGTATATTCTTGGAGACTTAATGTGCTACATATTTCGTAAACAAGTGTCTTCAGTCAAAATAATGAAAATAGAATTGAAGTTACTGTTATATTATTTGCTACTGTAATTTATGCCGTGAAAATTCAAGTGGTGGTTTGGCATACTGATTGTTATCAACTAGACGATATGGAATAGACAGTACGTAAATTGTTATCATACGGTTGAGGAGAATTTTGTCTCATTTCAAAATCATGATTCGATCAGCGTTAGACTACGATTGGAAACCTGTAAGCACTGGAACGGCTTTTGATCTTATTGTGGGACACGTCATCATTGCAAATCTGTGATCATAGATGCGAGAATCGATTTAACGACCTTCGGTCTGGTGCGCGAACACCTGCTCTGTTGGGCACTGAACTTCCATCCACAGGCGTTAATGTTCCATCTCATTCTATCTATCGAATTGCACGACGGCAAATAGTACGATAATTTGAACTGATAAACATGCGTACAATGCTATACAATGTAAGAGATATATCAAACTAAGAGGTAATTATGGATAATCATTTTCAAATTAGTGAAGACACAAGTAGGATGAAGGAAATAAACTTGATAGTAATAATGACACAATATTTCATAAGTTAATTCCCATCATAATATCTATATATGAAAGTATTACAATGCTTTAAGGATTATTCAAATGGATTGCTCGTCGTTAAATGTTACAAATGAAACAATTACCACTAAACTACTTCAACATTGAATATATAACTGTAAACAATGAAATTAGTTCAGCGTAGTTGTAAGAATGAGAAAAGATGAATGGAATCAGAAAAATGATCAACAATTACATCCCATAGAAAACATTTCCGGTGCAAACGCTCAGAAATCAAATCAAAATCAGTTCTTAATATTCCATCACTAAATGATTTGTCATTCATCTGTTTCGGTCCCCATATTGTCTATGGACAGCTTCATGCAACTCCTTAAATGAGTCAATTTTCAAAAGTCTTTATATCCTCCTCCAGGTTTATGGTCAACACGTGGCTTGACTATACTCTGCAGAAAATTTAAATGATCTGAGAGTATTTATTCGCTAACACCGAAGTGTAATATCAAACTAGTCAAATTGTTCCCTGGTAGTCATGCATAAATCCATTGAGTATTGAATATTAATTATTTAGCTTAAATTTAGTTAGCTGTTCGATAAATGATCATCAGCTGGTCAATGCTGACAATAAAAATTATCAGGAGCGCATTCACAGGAGATATACGCATCATATGACTCAGTGAATAATACTGAATCACACTCAGTATAAGAGTAAGTTAATCTTCAGTATCGATTTTTATTTCTTTAAAATTTGAAAATGATTCTGTCAATAAATAATCAATTGAGGTGATTTGCAATTCAGTTATTAGTGAAGCAGTAGGATGACTGATTCAAGGAAGAGAATTTGCCGTTACTTTAACACTGTAGGAGGTTGCTGGTATGGAGACTGTTGTAGATTTCTACATATCCCAAATAAGAAGCCACCATGTATATTTTATGAGTAGGACTGTCAATAATGTTTCGATCGAAATTTCAGCTTATCAACTGGATGTCGCTATGGAGAAAGTTGTCATTTTGCACATGACAGAACACCTCTAAAATCGGTTGAGAATTATGATAACAATGGTTGTATCGAGTCAATAAAAGACGTAAGTTTCTCAGTGTTTAATATATTTCTTTCTTGATGCAACATATCGTATATAAATATGTCGAGGTAGTTCCAAAGTGAGCAAACTCGTTGCATTGATTGATGATGAGGAATTCCTCGGTATGGAATAATACTGATCTAATCGCCTTCGACCTTAGCAAACGTAGACGTGCCGATAAGTTGATAGTAGTCTCTTTCTGGACACATAGATCACGTTTGAGTAGTTTAAATGCTGTCAATTAGTCGATGTTCGGCAAACTATTTTCAATGCGAACCCACAAACTGAGCTTAATC